GCGGCCACCAAGTCGCCGCCAGGGCGCGTCCGCCTGTCCGGCCGGGCGCTCAGCAGGCTCGGCCGTCACATTGCCGTCTTTCCCCAGTTGGGGGGAATCCAGCGAGAGGGCGTCTTCGTCCCAGGCCCCGATTTTGGTTGCCTCTGACGCGGTATTGTTTTCTTTTCGGCTGCTTGACTTCGTTGGCTCGCCGTCTTTCTGACCAGGGGCTGCCCCCGGCAGCGACTCTCCGCTTCTCCAGGTCGGGGCCCCTCTGGACGGCGACGCGGCGCCCTGCTCAGGAGCCCAGCCGCCAGAGCCTCCGGCAGACTCGTCCCTCCAGGTCCAAGTCCCAGCCGAGGCAGGCGCTGGGACGGCCCCGTCCGGCCGGGGCGCCTCACGCCGGGGCGGCGGGGGCGGACTGCAGCAGCCCGCCGCGCCGCTGACAGGCTGGTAGGCGGGGCATGGACACGTCTGCTGATTGGAGGAGCGCCCGGGGGCTGTCGCCTGTCCCGTCACCTGGTGGAGCAGCGCTGCCTGGAACAGAGCGAGCAGCGAAATTCGGCGGAAAGGTCGTTGTAAGCTTGAGCTCATTTGGAGATAGGCTGGAGGAAGACAAAAAGCAGGAGAAAATTAGAGATAACCTCGAGATAATCGCGGCTTAGCGAGAAATAAACGGCAAAAACCGCAACACCAACCCATGACATTTAACAAATTACATTGAAGCTAAGTTGGTTTAAGGTGAGCTGCAGTGACTGTGTATCTTTCAAAACTACTTTAAAGGATCTCCTCCCCCCCCCCCCCTGCTTGATCACTCCTCACTGGATCCCAGCCAGGGGTATTGCGTTATCAGCCTCGCGAGCAGCCGTCGGTCGGCCCGGTGCGAGCCCGTCCGAAAGGTCCCACCGAACCCGAAGAGGGACTCTTGAGCGGGGTGAAGCCTGGTCGGTGAGGCCACCACACCTACAAATACACGATGGCAGCAGAACCTCCCCTCCTCTCATGTTTCTCCTCCATCCCACAGTCCTGACAGGGCTAATGACGGCCGAAAGGCTCCAGTCCCAGCTGAACCGAAATCAAACGAATCAGGTGATCCCAGTGTAACAACTGCCAAACTGCACTTTATTCAGGAAGCAGCACACCGTCGAACTAGACACTCACACTACAACGCATGCAAAGGACTCATTAGCTGGCAACCAGACATACGAGCCATACACAATCTACTGACAAAGTAAACAGAGTCGAAACTCCTCTGCCACCACGTTCGTAGTCTGAAGTGTGAACTATGCCTTAAGAAATTATCAAGTCATTCGCTTCAGGTAAAAAATCGTTCTTAGTTGTGATACATCGTTGACTTGTTCGGATTCCTCTTAAACTTAAAACACATCTGTCTGTCTTTCCCATCGCATGCCACGTTCAATCCGGCTAGCGTGGCGCCGAAAACGTTGACTTATAGCTGTCCATAAAAGAACAACAGCACTCATGCAATAGCATGCAAAGAAACGCAAAATACTCCTCCTTCGTGAGACTTCCAAGAAAACACCAGGCGCGAATTACTCGTTAAACAAGCACCACATCATTTAAGTTTGCACGCGTATGAGGGATGCTGAACACGCGGTGTGACGTAAGCATTACACATCCCTACTGAAACGTTACGCGAAAATGTGCACAGCTTAAGACAAAGTTTTCTGCGGCTATACGTCCATAGTTCAATGGCATGACATACTACTGTTGAACGTCGAACGAGGTTTTAACTGGAGTTCATGTTTGTGGGGATGCTGTCACATGCCTGCCATATCACAATCCAAACCCATCCTACTTGGGTAGGAGTCCAGAATGTACTTAACCAACATGTACTCTACATATGCCTCATAAACCCATGATCAGCCTTCTCACAAAACCACAAAGTACGCAGCTTGCCACAGCCCCACACGTGGACAGTCAGCCCAGCAGCCCTTACCAGCACGGCAGCCAGCACCAGCATGGCTGACCGGTCCTGCACCTCGGCGCGTTGACGACAGCTCGGCTGGCGGTGTCGGCCGGCACCTTTGTAAGCTCGGCCGCGCTGAGTGGGTGCCACACTTGCTGCCACGTCGCCAGTCGCGTTGCCGACCGAACGCTGGGTGGCACGGCTTACCGAAGCATAGCATGCTGCTGTGCTGAGTACGTGCAGAACAGGATTTCACCCTCAGGCTCAATGAGCCCCGGGTGTTTGAAACCCAATGGACGGCTGTAGCAAGGTGACATGCTATTCCTTTGCATTGGGTGATCGTGCTTATAACATACACGCCGCTTGAGTTAGAGCGGGCGCAGTTATCGGTGTTGTTCTTGTGCTGTTGCTTCGGCCAATGACCTTTTCTGGGCTATTTGGGGACTATATTTGATTGATCTATTTTTTGTTTCCAAACACACTTCCCGCTTTTTCGCGCTTCCCGTGGTGTTGAAGCGGAGCAAGAGCAAGAAGGGTGAAGCGGACGCTGACTTATAAGCCTGGCCTCTGATGCTGATGACCCTCCCATCGGTGACGGACACGCTGTCCACAGTGACTGGGGCGTCTGTCTCCATTCTAGCTGCTATCTCTTGCATGAACACCGAAACTGCCCCTGGATCTGCCGTTTGGGTCTCTAAACTGCCCATGGATCTGCCGCTGGGTCTCTAAACTGCCTCTGGATCCGCCGCTGGGTCTCTAAACTGCCACTGGATCTGCCGCTGGCCCTACTGCCCACGCCTACCCCGTCCGCCTCTGGCTATTAATTCCGCTGCTGAGCCTCAACCCAGCTGACCCTACCGACCTTGTCGACCCTCGCTCGCCTGTACCCCCACCGGCCCGTCGACTCGGTGTGCAGCTCTGACTCTCGCTTGCCTTCCTGCTCCCGCGCCACCTCTTCCAGACAAACCTCCGAGTCCCTTCCTTATCCCCATGACTCAATCCTGGGGCAAAGGCCAACGGACGAGAGTGTTTATTTTCGGAAGGCATGGGCATAGCCATCACTGGGGTCGATGGGATCTAGACCGCAATAACTTTTGAGCAGATTGGACTATGTTTTTGTTTTGACCTTGTAAAAGGGCACCGAAATAGAAATAGACCACAATAAAATGTCAGATGTGTCTATACTCATGTTGGAAAGTAAATATTTTCTGGCAAAAAGAGAAATAGCTGTAGGCCTTCTTCAACGTGCTGGATCTCGACAATGAAATCTGATTATTTAGCCTGAAAAACTTGACGGATTTCTCTGGTTGTTAAAACCAAAACCCGTTCTCAAAGCAAGGCGCTGCGATCTGCGCTACGATCTGCCCGGAGCTTGCACTCCACACCCACCTCTGGGTGACGCTCCACATCCACCTCTGGGTGACGCTCCACATCCACCTCTGGGCGACGAGGAGCCGGATATCGCTCGGTTTGTTCATTTGGTGCCTGCCTTAACACATACCATTTCCATCACTCCATATCACCTGATTTTCAAACCTATCAGGTAGGTGTAGCAGCCAGTGGCAAAACCCCTCCCTGTCCCCTGGTGCCTACCTGGCAGGACACCACTGCGTAAGGCTGATGGGGATACTGACGCAGCCGTCACCCCACCGCGTCCGACGGTGGACACGGCGATGTGGGAAGCCTTCGCCACCTTTCGTAGGATAATGGCCTCCTTCCCGATAACCAGGAGCCGTTGCAGCAGCTTGAGTAAGCTCATCAGAGAGTGATGAGCTGACCAGTGGCACAGCGAGCCGTGCCGGACCCTGGGTAGCCGTGCCGGACCTTGGGTGGCCGCACCGGACCTTGGGTGGCCGTACGGGACCTTGGACGGCCGTACCCGACCCTGGGTGGCCGCACCGGACCTTGGGTGGCCGCACTGGACCCTGAACGGCCGCACCAGGTCCTCGGCAGCCGTATCGGACCTTGGGTGGCCGCACCGGACCTTGGGCGGCCGCACTGGACCCTGGACGGCCGCACCGGGTCCTGGGTGGCCGCATCGGACCATGAATGGTCGCACTGGACCCAGGGCGGCCGCACCGGACTCAGGGTGGCCAGCCGTGTCGCCAACTTTTCAAATGCGCCGATGCCAGGGGAAACTACGCGCATGAAGCCTTGAACGTCACCATAAACCACCTTTTCGCTACAAGGCGTTTCGATGGTCTCCAAGCTATGCAAGAATCCAATTTTCTTGTTCCTTAGTAAAGTGAGATTTTTTGTGCTTGCCCGATGACACGAACATCTCTATTGTCTTAATGAGATATTGTGATTAAGGCGGGGTACCTGTTGATTCCCTCATAAGGTTGCTGTTGTAGTGGTTCACGAGCACTTTCATATGATACCTTTTCCGAACAGTAATTACCAAGAAAACACCCACTACTTCACGCATAATACTGGTGCATTCGCAGGAGCTTGGTCAAAATTGGCAACATTTTGGGATAAATTTACCTTTTTCCCGTTGATGAAAGTTTTCACTTCCCGGCTGTGGCCGAAAAACCGACAGTACTTTTCTCGGGGGAAGCTGGCGTGGAGGGGCTGTTGGCAGGGAGCAGCACACCATATTCAACCAGGTTAAATCGTTCATCGCAACGACAAAGTCCATTTGTATGTGCAATTAAGTCGAGCTTATTTGAAATTTATGGGCTGTTCCATATGCGGACAAGACCTTCAGCGACACGCGCATGAAGGGATTTTTACTTCTGGTTGTGTCTAGAATCATAAGAATGCTGAGGCTCGTCAAATCGTAAAAATTGCCTGCCGCGACTGAATAGGTGGGGCTAAAAGAGAAGAAACAAAATGCTACGAATAGTACTTAAACTGTTTAAGACCAATTATTAGAGTTAATGCTATCAAATGAGTAAAAAGCGTATAAATTGAATTTCGATGTTCAAAAATGATCTGAAAAATGCGTTTGACCTCGTATTCATGTGTTTGCTCACCAGCTGTTGCGTCGTGCTAGCCATCTCCGACCAAAGTATACACACTTTCAGACCCACCTCTATAAAATTGTGGGTGTATTGTGTGTTTAGTGGCGCTGTCTCCTTGAGTACCGAGTGTTGGGCGTGTGGGGGATGGTGGTTTCGGTTGGCGATGGCTGTTGTTGATGGGCGTGGCGGGTAGTGTTGACTAGATGTAGCAGGTGAATGCTGTCCATGTTTTAAAAGGCTTGAAGAGATGTGTGAAAGCATTGTTCTTCTGCGTCGGGGAAAACCGATCGCTCCATAGAACGCCCCCAGCTAATCTCTGCGCCGAAATCGTCGTTTCATCTTGGAACATGACAGAGGTGTGTGTTGATGCTCCAGAAGGGGTACTTTCTCCACACCAAGCATTTACGTTGCCTCGCTACAACATGAGTGATGTGTTGCAACACATGAACAACAGAGAGGGCCAGAAGAGTGCTACATTGGCCAAGATGGAGGGTAATGCTGATTTCAAGCAGGATGTAACCAAGCTCCGCAGGAGACCATCAATGAGAGGCTTCAGTAACTTCATTGACCGGGTGGTGAGAACTGTGACCACCCTTCCCAGGGACAAAAACTCAAGAAAGTATGAGAGCTCAAGGGTGGATGAAGGATGTGAATATGTACAGTATGGGTCAGAAGAAGTTCCTGGGGTGGTTGGCCTCAACAACCATGGTAACACCTGCTTCATCAATGCTGTCCTGCAGTGTCTTAGCAACACAGATGTCCTGGCAGAGTACTTTGTGACTGGTCAGTACCGGGCAGATCTGTGCAGAAGAACCCGAGCAAATGCCAAGAGATTTGGCACCAAGGGAGAAGTCACGGAACAGCTGGCACTTACTCTGAAGTCCATATGGTCCAGGCAGTACAGTTCCGAAGTGTCATCACAGTTCAAGACATATGTGGAAAAGTATGGCAGCCACTTCCGTGGAAATGACCAGCATGATGCTCAAGAGTTCCTCATGTGGCTTCTGGACAAGGTCCATGAGGATTTGAACACGGCGACCAAGCGAAAATATAGGAAGATAAAGGTAGGATCACAAGAACATGGGATAGCAGATCCTGCTTTGTTGGCATAGCATGACTGCTCTACATTTTCAAGATTAACTACAGGAAGCATTTTGCCAGCATAGATATCAAATTTTGAGGTGATAGTTGATTTTGATAGTGCTACTGTAATTATTGGTGCTCTTAGGCTGTAGTTAATTCATTTTTATGACATGGTTGTTTACCAGTTTTTGCCCTGCAGGGTTCCCTGGGGCGGCCAGATGAGGTGGTCGCAGCAGAAACCCTTGCCAATCACCTGAGATGCAATGCCAGCTTTGTCCAGGACATCTTCCAGGCGCAGTTCAGGTATAGATGGACCTTAAGAGGACCTGATTGGCAGTGTTTTTGGTTTGAAAGTACATTTATTGTATAAATTATGCTGTATGTGCTACATAATACTTCTGGTCCTGTGTTTTGTATGCATGCCCTTATGTCATTTTTGGTTTGTGATTGTGAGTTTATTTTTTGTTGGTTGTATATTAGTCCATTAAGCATGTGCTTTTATAATTTTCCTTGGGCATTTTCTTTGCACATCTTGTGTGCAATATGGAAATTATTGTGAGCAAAACCTATACATGTTTTGACATGGAGTGAAGTCATAATTATCTCTCATCTGAAATTTGTCCATCAAAGAATTGTTGGGCATGACATGTTTTCATCTCTTGCTCGGGCACTCTATCCCTGTGCAGATGTTTTCAAGCAGTATTGTGTTAACACCTCAGACTGCCAATTCTAGGATATTTGTGGTATAAGTATGTGTAGTATTGCTAGTGATGCTGAGAAACATTGGCTCCCATCTCTTAGTACATTCTGCATTTACAGCCCAAATTGTTAAATTTATCACCCTCTGATTGTTGGCCACAGTGTGCTTGTGCTTGTTTAGACCAGGGCATATGTTGTTTAAACTGTTTAAGTGGTGTTTGTTCTGAAACCAAGTAAGTTTGGTACTGCCAACTTATGGCCATGGTGTTTCATCCCTCCCCAGACAGAAAGCTTGGCTGCAAACCATTTTACCACTTCTGTTTGAAAAAGCTGATCACATGGTACTGCTGCTGTCATTCTATTCTTGACAGGTGCATGGCATGGTATGATAGGTCTTTTGGAGGTGTAAAGGTCTAAACTACAGCTTTTCTGGAAGGTTAAATTACAGCATCATTGTGATATATTTTGTGATGAAATGTTATACTTCAAAAAAATTCACTTGCATAGGTGTTAACTGCATCACATGCACTTTTTGATTTATGCAATTTGTATGTGATAGTGATAACATGAAAGAAAATTTAGTTTGATTGTAGCCCACACTTTTCTGCCCTTGTGTTGAGTTTGAGTGCCATTAAAAGCAGAAGGGGCTTTTATCAGTGCTGGCCTTTGTCTTACCAAAGCAATGAGTGGCCAGATTATGTAAGTGTGGAGGGCTGACTGGTGCGTATTTGTGGATGCTCACTTCATTGTGGGTGCTCCACTTGTATGATCCCTGGTCAAGATGTATGCTGTATGACTGGGATGTGTTTGCCAACCACCATTTCTACTGGATGAGTTAACTAAATACTTATTTTGAGCTTCCTTTGATTGATACACCTGATGAATGACATCTTCATCATCCACTCCTTCCATCTGCATGCTTTTGCATTGCTCACCACTGCACATCCAGATGGTGCTTTAAGCTCATTTGTCTTATTAGTGATGTCCTGCCAACCGCTGTGTCCAGGACGTTTGCGGAGCTGTGGTTCTGAGCGTGCCTGGGTCGGGTGCTGACATGTATGGCGGACCTTGTATGACGCGACCTTAATCTGATAGCTTGGACCTGACCTCATAGTCTTACCGCTGTCAACACCACCGTGTGCAGCGCATACAGCGCGTTCCGTTGATCGTTATGTCAAAGGGTCGCTCGATGTCGATGCCCGCTGCAAAGGTGATCCGCCCCAGACCTCTGCCAGGATGTGCGAATGCCAACCACCTTGGTGGTGGCATTGGACTGTTAATGATTGAAGAACTGGCGAGTACAGGTTTTTCACCAGACCTTTTTTAAAACCCAGGGTAGTGTGTTTTGGTACATTATGCCGGACATTGTGTTGCGCAAAGTTGAAGCCAGTGCCGGGACGTGTCCAGGCTGGGCGTCATTTGTCCTGGGGGCTCAGCAAGGCCTCCCCGCCAGCGTCGCTCCGCTGCCTGCACGCCCCGGCGCGGCGGCGGCGGCTCCAGGCGGCGCGACCAACGTGGCTCCGGCCCGCCGCCGCGGCGCGCCCGTCCACAGGTCGCCTCAGCCTCCCTGTCGTCAGACAGATTCCCCCATCGCCGCGGCGCGCCCGTCCACAGGTCGCCTCAGCCTCCCTGTCGTCAGACAGATTCCCCCATCGCCGCGGCGCGCCCGTCCACAGGTCGCCTCAGCCTCCCTGTCGTCAGACAGATTCCCCCATCGCCGCGGCGCACCCGTCCACAGGTCGCCTCAGCCTCCCTGTCGTCAGACAGATTCCCCCCATCGCCGCGGCGCACCCGTCCACAGGTCGCCTCAGCCTCCCTGTCGTCAGACAGATTCCCCCACCGCCGCGGCGCGCCCGTCCACAGGTCGCCTCAGCCTCCCTGTCGTCAGACAGATTCCCCCATCGCCGCGGCGCACCCGTCCACAGGTCGCCTCAGCCTCCCTGTCGTCAGACAGATTCCCCCATCGCCGCGGCGCACCCGTCCACAGGTCGCCTCAGCCTCCCTGTCGTCAGACAGATTCCCCCACCGCCGCGGCGCACCCGTCCACAGGTCGCCTCAGCCGCCCTGTCGTCAGACAGATTCCCCCATCGCCGCGGCGCACCCGTCCACAGGTCGCCTCAGCCTCCCTGTCGTCAGACAGATTCCCCCACCAGCGCGGCGCACCCGTCCACAGGTCGCCTCAGCCGCCCTGTCGTCAGACAGATTCCCCCATCGCCGCGGCGCACCCGTCCACAGGCCGCCTCAGCCGCCCTGTCGTTGCCAGACAGATTCCTCAGACTCCCCAGACCCGGACCGCAGGTGGAACCCAGGAGACCAGCGGCGTTAGGTCCGGACTAAGAACTGCCAGCTGGCCGAGGGTGGTCCAGCGGCCGAGTAGTGACGCGGTCGCTGAGCTCGCTGCGCAGCCGGGAACTAACGGAGAGCCTCGCGCGCGGTGCGCACCCTCGTACTGGAACCGATGCGGTCAAGCTGTAGCTGGTACTCTGTAGCCTCTGGCCACAGCTGCTCTGACAGCAGCTGGAGAGGTGTCTCTCCGGTGTCCACGTGGCCTTCTTGCCACCCTGGGTCCGGTATCCCACCTAAACGCCGGGGTTTTGCAGTGTCCAATGTTTTTCATTCCGCTTGTTTGACCCTTGTGTTAAGCAGGAACCGCTTCGCATTAGTGCTAATTGCCGTCTTTTAAACCCTCCATGCTTCTGGAGGAAGCACCGGCGAACCCTATCCTCCGTTCTGTCGGACGTTATGGACATGGAAGCGTGGGGACCGTGGCGATGGGACCCCGCCCCAGCTGTCCGCTCGGCACTCGCCACACAGTGGTGACGAACTGGTCGAGGTATTCCACAATCTCTGTCAGTGAGGCGGGCTTCCTGCTCTTTGAATACGGCTCAGCAGACTGGAGCAAACGTACGGCCATCTGGTCAGTGTGGCCGCCCTTTTGTTCTGACTCAAGCTCTCGGTTGATCCCTCCGTCGGCGGGAGCCGTTGCGTCGGTCGCCCAAAGGTCAGCCATCTCGGTACCTTCTCCGGCAACAACCGACAGCGACTGCGGAGCTCACGTGCGCTGCAGTGACGCTCCGCAGCGCGCCCGATTCCGGGGCTGTCAATGTACTCCGCTTGGTCGAACAGGTGGGTTTTCGGCCCGCAGAGAGGATTTCCAAGCATTCTGGATGGCCTGAGACCCGACTGTGACTACCCTTTTACATAACAACTTGAATGCTCCACTTTTCCGATACGTGCACAGATCTGCACGTGACTTGCATGCAACTTGTCTGTCCGTGCACGGCGGTCAGGCGCTGCGCGGCGGCGGAGGCGGCTCCCCTGACCCCCGGCCGTCCAGCAGCCTCCCGGGACTCCCCGTGGGGGAGGAAGTGGCGTTGGGGGAGGGCGCGGGCCTGGTCTGCGGCGCAGAACAGGTCGTGACGTGATCCGAGGCAGCAGCTGTGGAATGGCGGCAATGTGGGCTTTGGAAGCAAGTCGTCTAGCGATGCGCCACTGGTCGTTTGGAGCTGCGTCTGTTGGGTAGATTACACGGTGGTATTGGCGTTGGTGGAGCCAACATAGGGCACCAGCAGTACATCAGCTGCGCTTGTTGGGACGCAGCAACAAGTGGTAATTGACGGCGGTGCAGTAGTTGACGAAACACTGGGCGGCTGTTGGCCGGCAAAGCTCGCAGCCGAACGGCCATTACTGGCGCGCAGTGTTGCTGGCGGTGGGTTAGAAGTACCAGTGTTAATGTCTGGCGGAGCCATCAGCCGGGTGATCCAGCGGGCGGCGGCGGCGCCGGGGCTGGCACCCCTGGACCCTGCTGCGGTCCCCTGCCTGACCTAGCGGGCGGCGGTGGCACCGGGGCGGGCGCCCCTGGACCCTACTGCGGTCCCCCGCCTAACCTAGCGGACGGTGGCGACGCCGGGGCCGGCACCCCTGGACCCTGCTGTGGTCCCCTGCCTGACCTAGCTGGCGGCGGTGGCACCGGGGCGGGCGCCCCTGGACCCTGCTGCGGTCCCCCGCCTAACCTAGCGGACGGTGGCGACGCCGGTGGACGGTCGGGAGCCGGGCCGTGGCGCCGGTTGTTTCACCGGCCCACCGGCTCGGCGGCTGACCCCGGCCACGCCCTCGGCTCAGCGGGCGGGACAGTGTGGGGCCGGCGCGGGGTCCGGTGGCCTCGCAGTCCGGCCTGGAGAGGGTGTCAGCGGCGGCCTGGTGGCCGTCGTTAGCCGCCGGAAGTCGCGGCTTTGTGCCCCAAAATCGCCGGTCCGTGGGGTGACACCCGTCGCCACCGCGCGTTGCTTTGCATTGTTGTTTGTGACGCCGTCTTGGAGCCCTGTCTCTAGCAGTACGGATGCGATCACCGCTTGAGCCGGCTGTTTCAGGGCAGCGGAGTGTGATGCCGATCAGCGGCGCATCACCGCCACCGCAGCGCCTGTATGGCGGCCGCTACGCCGGCGTCGTGGCTGTCGGCAATGGCAGTACGGGGGCCAGGCTGGGCCGTGGTCGACCTGCCCGCGCGAGCCGCCGGTCCTGACGCGGCCGTGTCCTGGCGTTGCAGGTCGTCGGCAATGGCAGTACGGGGGCCAGGCTGGGCCGTGGTCGACCCGCCCGCGTGAGGCGCCGGTCCTGACGCGGCTCTGTCCTGGCGTTGCAGGTCGTCGCTGCGCTGCCCCAACTGTCGGAAGGAGAGCAACACGTTCGACCCGTTCCTCTGCGTGAGCGTGCCCATCCTGCAGCGACAGTTGCGGCCGCTCATCGTCACCCTGGTCTACGCCAATCAACAGCCGCGGCAGGTACGGCTCCAGTCTTACCCACCAATCAGCAGCCGCGACGGGGTGGTTCCCGTCCAATACACCGGTCAGGCAGTCGCGACAGGTATTCTTCCCATCGAATCCAACAATCAGTAGCCGCGCTGGCACAACTCCGTGTTAACTACCAATCAGCAGTCACGCCAGGTGCATGTCTGTTCCTATCCACCAATCAGCGGTGGTCACGGGTACATTTTTAGTTTAATCCACCAATTAGCAGCCGTGACAGGTGTGTCTCCCTGGCCTGCGCCGATCAGCAGCGGCAGCAAGCACATCGTCAACGCAGTCCGCCAGCTAGCGGCGTGGCAGACCTTTACCTGTCTGTTGTCGCCACCCTGAGTGACTGCAAACCTATTGTTGTCGCCACTCCACATGTAACACCGTAACGTTCGCTCCGACGCGCTGTGAGCGCTTGGGCGGCATCTCCAGTCCGCAGGACCTTGTTGGACCGCGGCACGCGGAAATTCCCCACGCTGTTGCCGTCCGCTGCACGAGGACTCCCTGCAAGATGCAACCGTGCCGTTGCCTTTGCTCTGATACGGCGGTTTGGGTGACATTGAAACTGAAGTCCTGCTCTGATACCACCGGCCGTGGGGCGATAACGTGAGCTGATACTGAGACAATGCGGTGGGACGCGTCAGCGAACAATGCTCTTTGTTTGGCCGCTGGCAAGACGGTCCGTATGGGGCGGTTGCAGAGGGCGGGGAGCTGCCGCATTTTCGCGATCGGGGTCCATTTGAGGTCACCGGGTGTCACGGCGGCGCCATTCCTCCATGGGGTCGGGAAAGTCCTTGGACGCCCGGAATGGGCCATGAACTTTCAGGATTTACGGACCCATCAGGCGACTCGCGGGTTTACGCGTCCGGTCACGATCGGTTACGCCCAATCCATGAACGACCTAAGGGAGCGCTGGTGTTCTGTCGGTGGCAGATTCAGGATCAGTCAGTGTCGCATGCGGACAAAATTGAGCAGGTTGAGCTTTCATACCGCCGGCGGTATGCTTTCAACCGGTTCTCACAAATCTTCTGAGTTGTGGTGGCGTGTCGCTTCATATGAGTAGTGTTGAACCCCAAGCTGTGCATATTTCTGACGGCGTGAGCATTGCCAGACGTTGTTACAAGCTGATCGAGCAGATGTCGGGGCGAGGGTCCCCCGTCATCCGTCATCATCTGCCGGGCAGCGTGACGCCACGCCAAGAGTGCACTAGCTGAGCCAGCCAGTGCTGATCCCGTCGTACCACGCGGCCTGTCGGACTAGGAGACGGCATGCCGTTTGCCGTGCGCTACTGGGCGTTCTGCGTATTCTGAGCCTCAGGCCGGCCCGGATAATAGCCGATCTGTTTCTGCCCGGCGTTAACGATGCCCTGCCCGTCATGGAAGCACCGACAAGTCCTCCTTGCCGTTGCCGACCACTGATCAGCGGTCAGCCCGGTGTGTATGCTCTGTGCAACCAAGGTTCGAAGAACGTGATGCGGCAATCTAGAAACGCGAGATATAGCTTGAGTTTGTAAGCGTGCCCGCTTGGTGCGTTAGGCAGGCCAGGATTGGTGTGCTTTGAAGCGTTAGGGTGGGTGTCTTCTGGTGACCCCGACGGTGGAGTCCGTGCGCCAGTTTGTCGCTGCACAGCTGCCAAACAAACATCTGGGGTAAACAGCCTGGCGCGCGGCGTACGGTAGTGCTGCACGCCCTGTCTCGGGGTCGGCCGAGGCCTGCTGGAGCGCGGCCGGCCCGCAGCGGTGCCTCTGGCCACACCCTGTCCGCACGGCCTGCCGCGCCGCCGCCGGTCGGCGCCGGCGCTCGTGAGGGGGCGGCCGCCGGCGTGTCTGGGGTGCCCGCTCGTGCCTGACCGCCGTCGGCCCGTCCGTGGCCGAGACACACGGCTGGCGTGACTCAGCGGCACGGCCGGGGGCGCGTGGGAGCGGTGGGGCGGCGGCGGGCGCTGGCCGGGCCCCGCACGCTGCCGTCCGGGCCCCGCACGCCCGGCGCTCCTGGCCGCCACCGTGTCGCCGGTCACGTGGTGGCCTGACCACCACCGCGTCGCAGGTCACGTGGGCCGCACGACGAGGCCAGCGTGATGATTGCCTTGAGCAGAGTCAACACGACGACAACCTGCGTGTGGTGCGGCTTCGCCAGCGCTCTCCGTGCGTGTTGGCGTGTCCGCTGTCTGCTGATACCCGCGTGGTGGTCACGGTAACGAGGAACGCTTGATCTGGTATCCAGCGCGTGCTTGTAGTGCTAGGAAGCTCTTCGTTCACTTATTCGATGCCTTTGGGGATGAATGCCGTTTTCGGGAGTGCTCCTTTCCCCGATGCCGTCGGCCGCTGTGGTGACCGCTCTCAGTGCACACACTGAGGCCGCAGTAGCCCCCCCTCGGTGCCGCGTGCTGATGGCTGCGGTGCTGTATCCGTCTCCAGGCCACCGGCCGGTGGCTGCCTCACAGTAGCCCCCCTCGGTGCCGCGTGCTGATGGCTGCGGTGCTGTATCCGTCTCCAGGCCACCGGCCGATGGCTGCGTCACAGTAGCCCTCCCTCGGTGCGGCATGCTCACGGCTGCGGTGCTGTATCCGTCTCCAGGCCACCGGCCGGTGGCTGCGTCACAGTAGCCCTCCCTCGGTGCCGCGTGCTGACGGCTGGGGTGCTGCATCCGTCTCCAGGCCACCGGCCGGTGGCTGCGTCACAGTAACCATCGCGGTGCGACGGTGCGCACAGCTGTTGTCAGTGCCATCTTCTGAGCGTGAAAGCCCTTGTGCTGTGATCGCCCCGGAGGGAGAGCTGCCAGCATCTATTGCACCCTAATCACCATCGCCGCTGCGTCATTCTGTGCAGCATGACCCACAGCGTCGTGATTGGCTCAACCGGAGTTTTCCGCACCACCAATCAACATCACCACATCACCTCCGCGTCACCGCTGCGACTGAAATACCACCGTCACGTCACAACCATTACACCAATATCATGGTATTCGTCATCATGCACTATCATCGCCTGCAGTACTGGGTCACAAGTCACATCAAAGGTCCACACGCCGCCACAGCCGTGACCCACGTCACCGGCAGGACGTCCCCCCTGCCATCACATGACGTTCTCCAACGCAAGCCTCGCAATCCGGTCTCCATCACCTTCAACGCATAATCCTCCGCCTCCCCCCGAGTGACATTGTATTTCTTTCAACTGGGATTTTCCCTCCATGTTCATAACCCTGTTCTGTTAAAAAACGTAACCCTGGCTGCAACTGCAAACTGACCACATCCGTTCGTGGGCTCTGCAGCCCCAATGGCAGTGATGCTGGCGCTGATGGTCATCCTGCTGACGGTCGCCGTGACGCCCACGGTGCCGCTGTTGACTGCCGGTGCTGCTGCTGATGGCCACCGTGACGGCCATGGCGCTGCTGTTGACAGGTGCTGCTGCTGATGGCCACCGTGACGGCCATGGCGCTGCTGTTGACAGGTGCTGCCGCTGATGGTCACTGCGACGGCCATGGCGCTGCTGTTGACAGGTGCTGCTGCTGATGGCCACCGTGACGGCCATGGCGCCGCTGTTGACAGGTGCTGCTGCTGATGGCCACCGTGACGGCCATGGCGCTGCTGTTGACAGGTGCTGCTGCTGATGGCCACCGTGACGGCCATGGCGCCGCTGTTTACAGGTGCGGATGGGGTTCAGCGTGGAGAGCGGCTCATCGGTGGCCGACTTCAAGGCGGTGATCGCGGCCGACACGGGCCTGGAGCCGGGCCGGCTGCTGCTCTGCCAGCTCGACGACGCCGGCTTCACCCAGACGCTGCACGGTGAGAGGGCGTCCCTGGCAACCCCACCTTCCTGTTGGTAAAGTTGAACCTTAAGTGGTCCATGCGCTCGCACGGTGCGATTCAAAAACGGTTGTAGGTTTGTTTTGTTGAGCTGGCTTCTAGGCCAGTTGATGGCCCAAATGGTTTGTCATCAATGGTGAATCCTCCCGTCGCGCACTTCGGGCTCGCATTGATATTTGTCTGTGTTTAGCAACACAACTTCTCTGCCTGTAACTCCGATTGTTTGCTTCTGGTTATTCACATGCCTCACTCATGGTGATCTGGCGACTGCTGCTGGGTGTACTTGTGACGTCATCAGATGCATGTGCGGATCAGTAACGTGACTATGTTGCGGGTGATCGATGATGTCCCGACTCTTGCTAGATGTTCTAATGGCAGGCGTCAAATCGTCCCTCGGATGTACCAGCGTGAGCGGAGAGCCGAGGGAGCCGACTGGTGAGGTGAAGGTACCCCGGACCGCCGGTCACCCCCCCCCCCCCCCACCCCCCCACCCCCCCTGCACCTGCCTGACCCGCGTTCCCTGCCTGCAGACGCCGACGCCGTGTGGACGATCGGTGACACCGAGAGGCTATACTGCATCGAGCTGCCGCCAGATGGCGAGGCGTGCGAGGAGGACGCGCTGGTGACGCTCGTCTGGACCAACCTGCGCCTCTCCGACTCGGGGGTGCCGCACAGGTGGGCGCGCCTTCGGAGCGGCGGTCGCCGCCGCTGACGGCGCCGTCCGCAGGCGCGGGTGGAGAGGGGGCGGGGCGGGGCCGTCGCGCGGGGGGCGGTGGTGTGCGGCGGCCGCTGCTCGGGCGTTGTACCGGGCGCTGTAGATTGATGTCCTTATCTTCCCACATACCCTGCACCGTCGACATCGTATGGCGGGGAAGGGAGGGAGGACCGAGGCTCGCTCTTACCGGCCGTCTGTTTTCAGCAAAAGTTGTTCTGCGCGGCCGTCCAGCGTTTGTAAAGTCCCCCAAAGGTCCGTGATTATCCTGCCCGGCACGCGTTTGGATGAGGGTTGGCACACGCTGGCACGATCGGTGTTGTGCTTCCGAGCCATGTTCCGCTGTCTGTGTGCAGACGCTGCCCACAAACGGCCCAGTGCTGGAAACTGTTCCGCAGAGTGTCGTGAAGCCTGCTTCGCGCCAGCTTTGCTGCGTTTGCGGTCATACGAGCAGCCGGTTTTGAGCGCGGACTTGCGTTCGGCTCTGTCGACACTGCTTGCAGCGGCGCCCGCTGGTTGGGCTCAGCAGCGCTGTTTTGAAGAGCTTCGCTGCCACTGCTTTCGGTAGCGCGTGTTTCGTTAGTTCAAGCACCGGCGTTTTGAAGTGCTGTGCTTGTGACGGCGACGGTGCCTTATCGTGCTGACAAGGCTGCGCGGTCGGCCGGTCCGCGCCCTTCGTGGCGCCCCGGGGGCGGGGGGATGGGGGGGGGACGTGGTCCGGGGCCGCTGAACCCTGCCCGAAGCACGCTGGCCGGCCTGCCGCCGTCGGGCCGGGGTCAGTGGTGTCGCGCCGCGCGACAGCTCGGGGCTCAGGCGCCCGCCCTCAAGATGGGACCTTGGCTTTTTTCGCGAGGTTAGGGACAGTGCACTTTACGGGCAAGCTTCACTAGGCATCTGTACAGCACTCGATGGTGAATGTTATGTGGCGCACTGCGTGGCTGCACTGTAGTCCGTGAGGCCACAGTGGCCACTGTAGCCTGTAACACTGCGTGGCTACACTGTAGCCTGTGTCGCAGACGGATGCGGACTGTTGCTTTCCCTGACACTCGCTCATGAAATACCCACAGTGGCTGGAGTTGTGTATGACCTCTGGCCAGAGAGGACCGTCTCCGAACTTTTGGACCGAAACATAAACTGCTCAGTCCGTGAGACGCATAAATATACGCTTTGCTGCGTGCAAAAATGTTGTCCAAACACCACGAACCGTTACAAACACGCCATAGCCATCATCGTGCAGTAACAGGACAACACCGAGGTGCGGTGCCGTTGAACGTGCGGTCCCGATGTACCGAGCCCCGTGGGTGAGGCGGTGCGGGCCCCCGCCGTCGCTGGCCGGCTCCCGTCCGCGTCCGAGCGCGCCGCCCACTGCCGCCTGCTCCGACGCACTGACCGGCTGATGACGGTAGTCCGAGACGGTCCGCCGGCCAGCAGCCCATGTGGCCCTGTCGGTGGCGCGGCGACGTGCCGAGGCTGGCGGCCGCGGAGGTCCGAGCTTCGGCTGACGCTGATGACGCTGACGTACGCTCGGCGGCAGGTTCGGCTCGCCGTACGTGATGCAGGTCAGCCGGGACGTGCTCTACGAGGACATGCAGAAGCTGATGCTGAAGGAGATGGCCGCCAGCGTCAAGCCGGACGTGCTCGCCTTGGCGCAGGAGGTGAGCGTGCCGGCTGTGGTGCAGCACACGGTGGCGGCGCTGCGGCCGCGCCTGCGGTGACTTGTGAACGAGCACCGGCCTGGCAGCCGTGTCAGCCGAGCCTGGCAGTCGTGTCGGCCGTCGCCGGCCAGGCCGCCAGGTGTCTCTGGTGACGCTGACCGCGGGCGCGCCGCGGGCGCTGCTGTGGGCCGTTGCCGGCCAGGCCGCCAGGTGTCTCTGGTGACGCTAACTGCGCGCGCGCACCACAGGTGCCGCTGTTCACGGTGCGCGTGGTGGACGGCGTGCCGGTGGACCACACGGTGCAGCACCCGCTCTTCACCGAGCCGGTGGAGGAGGCGCTGTCGGCCAGCGTCGGGCCGCCGCACGTGACGCTCCTGCTGGAGTGGGAGCAGGACGCCATCGACAGGTGAGGGAAAGGGGCGTGTTATGTGACGTCACGGCCTACCGAAAGGTGCGGTGATCAGAAGAGGCGGACGTGTTGACTCTCTGGCTGGTGCTTGCTGAGTGAATGTCGGAACATTGGTGTTGTGCTCTCCCGGATGATGCTCTGGAGTTTCCGCACCAAGGGACTCGCCACTGACCTGACCGGGCTTGTTTTCAGTGGTTTACCGGTGTCCGCGAGCTTATGTCCTCAGCTTGACGGTGTAAAGTGACAAGTTCTCGGTATGACCGAAAGGCGGCGTGCCAGTCTACCTAAAGGCGTGTGGTCGCGCGAGTCATATCGGGTGGCGTGGCCAACGGCGTGTTTCGTTTTCTGTTGGACGTCTGTATGTTCGTGCCCGGCGGCGGCAGCGGACTCGACCTCGCCGGCACAGGGCGTCCGGTGGCCGTGAGCGCTCCGGTGCCGCGGGCTAGGCTGCCCCGTGCCGGCGGCGGCTCGCGGGTGTCCCTGCCGCCCGTCGGCTCGGTCGGCTGGCGCGGCGCGTGTGCTGACGACCCGGCGCGTCCGGCAGTGTGCTGGCCTCGACGGAGGACTACGTGGAGGAGCATCGGACGGTGCGCGAGGTGGCGCGCCACTCACTCAGCCCGGTCACCCTGCAGGAGTGCCTCCAGCTGTACACCAAGTTAGTGGACAGGGCTGCTGACCCCTGACTCCGACCCCTGGTCCCGGCCCCCGGACCCCGAGCCCCGGCCCACGGCCCACGGCCCACGGCCCACGGCCCACGGCCCACGGCCCACGGCCCACGGCCCACGCCCCGGCCCCGGCCCTGGCTCCCGATCCCCGGCCCCGGCCTCCCACCCCAACCCCAACTCCGACCCCCAGTCTCACTCGGGCATTATGAAATCCAAAGGAAGACCAGCATTGTATTTTAGGATGTGTTTCGTGATTGCGACTGACTCATTGGGTGTCGATCTGGTGTTAAACTTGTGGTCTGATACCGCCGGCTTGGACGCGGCAAGAACGTGTAACGCGCCGCGCGGTCAACTCCCTCCTCCTCGTGGCTCGGTCGGCGTGACGGGACGTACCTCCCGTACGTACCTCCGTGAAGCACGTAAGCATTGCTCCACGACGCAGCAGCACCAGCAGCCGTCAGCAGGTGTCTGCGGCCGGCCAGTGCGGCGCCGGCGGTGTGAGCGTGACGCTGACGGCCGGCGGCGGCGTGTGCGCCAGGTCGGAGCGGCTGGGTCCCGAGGACAGCTGGCGGTGTCCCGGCTGCGAGTCCAGCCAGCAGGCCGAGAAGCGGCTCAGTCTCTGGTCCATCCCCGACATCCTGGTCATCCACCTGAAGCGCTTCAGACAGGTACGCGGCGCGCGCGCCACGCACTGCAGACGGCCGCCGACAGGGACTGGTCGCCCGAGCGGCCAGCGCCGAGACGGGACATCAATGTGGGACAGCGGAGATCGAGAGAGGAACTGCAGGGAAGCGGTGTTTACAATGATCTGTGGCGACCGAGAGGCGCATGTTTGGGGCTCGAAGACGGCGTTGTGGCGATGGCTGTGTATCCCGTCTGTTGTGGCCGGGAGGTCGGGCAGGCTGTGTCCAAACGTTCGGATGGTTCACGTGTCATTCTATGATTGCCGTTAGAACAATACACCCGAGCCAGGGTGATGCCTTGGTGTGACAAAAACACTTGATAATGATCATGTTAGATAAGGCAATAAGCTACACTAAGGCCGTAGCCAGCCCCTCCCCCTGTCACCTCCGCACCACCTACGAACCGCACACGGCACTGGAACTGTGCACCTGGAGCCTCCCGCCATCACAACCTTATGAACGACGGCGAGCGAAGCAACCAGTCAAAAGCTCGCGTGTGCCCCCACCCCCGCCCGTAACCCCGCGCCTCCCAAATCACGGCGTGCCGCGCCGGCCGCAGACGAACAACCAGCGGAGCACATCGAAGCTGACGACGCTGGTGGACTTCCCGCTGCACGGGCTGGACATGGGCCAGCACCTGGCGACGCGGCCGGGCGCCGCCGGCGGCGAGGCGGCCACGTCCGGCCTGGGCCTCCTCAGCGCCTGGTCGCCGTGGAAGCGGCACCAGCGGCCGGCCGGCGCCGCTGGCCGCGCCGGCGGCGTCTATGAGCTCTACGGCGTCTGCAACCACCACGGCAAGGACCTGCAGAGCGGCCACTACACCGGTGAGTGCTGAGCAGGGCCGGCCGCTGGCGACGCCTGGCAGAGGCCACCGAGCTCTTCTTGATCGGTCCGGGCGAGTGAAGTTGGTGTGGGCATGCGGCGGAGGGGTTAGGGTGCTGTTTTTACGTCATTTGACGGGGTCGTGTTTCCACCGCCAGAGGCTTGCAACGGTCACAGTTTTGCCAGTGTGCCTATGTCCTTTCCTCGTAACACGAATTATTGGATTTGCCCAATGCATTGCAATGTATTGTAAGGTTTAAAAGCCTCTGCGTGGTGGCTTCACCAGCACAAGTGACGTGTCCACGTGGGCAGGAGGGATCACGGCATGGTAGCACAGTGAAGGCGGCGAGGAAGCGGTGACCATGCCGGGACCGCTGCGGGCCTCACGTCCGCGAGCTGCTCGCTCCTCCGGCACAGTGTCGCGCGCCACCAGCCTGCCAGCGCCCGCGGCTCTACCCCGCCCTCTGCCCCCCGCACCAGCCTGCCAGCGCCCGCGGCTCCACCCCGCCCTCTGCCCCCCGCACCAGCCTGCCGGCGCCCGCGGCTCTACCCCGCCCTCTGCCCCCCGCACCAGCCTGCCGGCGCCCGCGGCTCCACCCCGCCCTCTGCCCCCCGCACCAGCCTGCCGGCGCCCGCGGCTCCACCCCGCCCTCTGACCCCCGCGCCAGCCTGCCAGCGCCCGCGGCTCCACCCCGCCCTCTGACCCCCGCACCAGCCTGCCAGCGCCCGCGGCTCCACCCCGCCCTCTGACCCGCGCACCAGCCTGCCAGCGCCCGCGGCTCCACCCCGCCCTCTGCCCCCCGCACCAGCCTGCCGGCGCCCGCGGCTCCACCCCGTCCTCTGACCCCCGCACCAGCCTGCCAGCGCCCGCGGCTCTACCACCCGCCCTCTGCCCCCCGCACCAGCCTGCCGGCGCCCGCGGCTCTACCCTGCCCTCTGCCCCCCGCACCAGCCTGCCAGCGCCCGCGGCTCCACCCCGCCCTCTGCCCCCCGCACCAGCCTGCCGGCGCCCGCGGCTCTACCCCGCCCTCTGCCCCCCGCACCAGCCTGCCAGCGCCCGCGGCTCCACCCCGCCCTCTGCCCCCCGCACCAGCCTGCCAGCGCCCGCGGCTCCACCCCGCCCTCTGACCCCCGCACCAGCCTGCCAGCGCCCGCGGCTCCACCCCGCCCTCTGACCCGCGCACCAGCCTGCCAGCGCCCGCGGCTCCACCCCGCCCTCTGCCCCCCGCACCAGCCTGCCGGCGCCCGCGGCTCCACCCCGTCCTCTGACCCCCGCACCAGCCTGCCAGCGCCCGCGGCTCTACCCCGCCCTCTGCCCCCCGCACCAGCCTGCCGGCGCCCGCGGCTCTACCCCGCCCTCTGCCCCCCGCACCAGCCTGCCAGCGCCCGCGGCTCCACCTCCTCCACCGCCTCCGACCGCGGCAGCGGCGGGCGTCACACATCCGTCAGCTAATGGGCCTTTCAGGCTGGTGATGCCCGGCTTGGAAACATGACCACGCCAAGTACCGAACGCCCAGTTATTGTGGTGCCATTCGATCCAGCCGCCCGTGGCGGCGTGGGTTCGAGTCGTTTTAGACACTCGCTGTCTGCGTTCGACCGCTATGACCTGTAGCTAGTAGCAACGACCGTGCTAAAGGTCAGGTGACGTCAGAGGGCATGATGGGCCACGCCAAGCATTGTGGCACGGCAAACTTTCGTCGCCAAATTATGTCGTTGACCTGGAATTTCACGATCTGATGTTGACGGTTCTGGCTCACGCAACAAGCACTGCTTAGCTCGAGTCCTGATCCTACGAAAACACCCAATGAAAAGGTCGCGACGAAATCTTCAAAAAGGTGGTTTGTTTGACACATTCCTCAGTTATATTACACTTCGTCAATGCCGTATTTTTCTTTCGTAGCATGCCGATTGAAACTAGACTGCAGTCCCAACCCGCCCACATCACGATCCAACTTAGCTACTCCCAAAACACGCACTCAAAACGCGCCTCGGCGGCCGTTGGCTCCGCCTGGTGGAGGGTTCAGCAGCAGCCGGTCAGCGTGGCTGGCTTACGCTCCACTCTCACACACTCTCACTTATTTACACCCACACTATTGCTTTCTCACACTCGCACTCCACTTCCACACACTCGCACTCTCACACTCACACTCGCATTCACACTCATACACTCACACTCACACTCAGCACTCAACACTCAACACTTAACACTCGCACTTACGCTCGCACACTCGCACTCACGCTCCGCCGCCTTCCGCCGCCAGCACTCTGCCGCAACGCCACCGACGGCAACTGGTACAGCTACGACGACGCGCGCGTGCAGCGGCTGGAGGAGGGCGGCGTGGTCACCCCGGACGCCTACATCCTCTTCTACCAGCGCCAGACGCTGCGTACCTGCGCCACCGGTGAGGCGCCGGCCCTGCGGCGGCGGGTGGCGGTGGCCGGGGTGGAGCTCGAGCTCAATAACCGGGCGCCGGCCGGTGCCGGCAGCAGCGGAGATCAGCGTCTACGCGATGTTGCAGCAGCTGCGTGCGGTGCTGTGGTGACGACCCGGTCGGTCTCGGCCTGGAGGGGCGGCCTGAGGCGGCCAAGGCCTCAGCTCGTGCCCCCAGCGTCACTGCCGCTGGGGCGGGCGGATGTGGGACGGTGACAGGGTGGCGCCGTGCTCTGCGGCTCTCGGTGATTGGCCCCGTTGAAGGCGTGACCCATCCCCACACAGTGCACTGTTTTCGTTGGGGGCTTGTCCCTGCACACAATGCAAGCAAGTGTTGTTAAATGCATCGTCTTATCGCCTCATAGCCAAGCAGTCGCTGCGTCCCAAAAGCTGTGATCATACTTACAGAAGGTGTGTGTAACTGGGTGCAGGGTAGATACGCAGCTCATAACTGGAAACCTCGAATCCCCATAAACCAAGCTGGTTCAACTCGCAATGTTTGTGATAGTGTGTCGCGCGTGGTCGTACGCATACACGTACCACACGCTGTGTGTATCAGGAATAGCACGCGACATGCCCGCCCGTGCCGATGTGCGAGCTGGGGCCCACGACTGAAGCTTTGGGAATGCTCCCTGCACGCATCGTGCCCACCGGCTCGTCCCCGGCACTGACGGCGTGCCGGCCGTGTTCGCAGAGGTGGCCGCGGGAGGCGCCGCCCGTCACTGGGCCTACCGGATACCGGCGCGGCCGGCGAGTGGCGCTCGCGGTGAAGCCCCCGCCGACCCTGCCTCCACCGCCGCCGTCGCCGCGGGGGACGCCACCGGCGCCAGTGAGTCAGACGCGGCCGCGGGCCCGGGGGCGGGTCTGGGCCGGCGCCGCCAGTAAAGGCGTGATCCATGTGTGACGGGCAGGGATGCTGCGCGACCGTCCGGCTGCCGTCCGGCGGTTTCCGCGGCGGGCCTTCAGATTGAGAACTTCGAAAAAGTCTTTTTAAGTAATCTTTGAATAGATCTTTCTGCTCGGGATTTGAAATCAATGGTATGGGATCATGTTTCATGGCTCCATATTGACCTCCTGAGTTCGAGTTGGACGGCTGCTATCGTTAACCGGCGTCCGACGGTGAGGGATGGCTCGATGGTGTAGGGCTGCATTGGAGGCGCCGCCGAGTGCCGCGGCTGTGCCGGTGACGTGGCGCCCCCCCCCCCCCCCCCCCCCTCCTCCCCGCAGAGCCGGAGGCGGCAGGCGGGCCGGAGCAGGGCTCACCGACCCACCTGAGCCGCGGCGGGCGCTACAGCACACTGCCGGCCGGCCGCGCCGCCGCCCGGCCGGCGCGGGCCGACCAGCCCTGCAGTGACGACGAGGCGCCGCTGGCCAGTGAGGAGATGGTATGTGGACGGATGGCGTCGTAGTGGGCACTGTGTGCAGGAACCCAGGAAGGACGGAATTGGTGCTATTTGTTTGGTGAACCCAGCCAGGAGCGCCGTGAAGTTTGTTGAGTTTGTTTGTTTTCCCTCAGTTCTGGGCATTTGAGCACCAGATGTTGTAATTGTCGGGTGCCTGCTGACGCACGATTCATTGCTTGTTTTCCCGTGCCGCATTGTTAGGTCGGGACGCCTTGTCCACGGACCAGGCCGAGGTCTAGCACCGCCCGGTCCTGTGACCCATCCCTCCTGATCGCCCTCGCTGTCCAAAAGAAGCCGTGGACAGCGCGTTTGTCCACGTGGATCCGTGGCTGTCCATGGCCAGCGTGTCCCACAGTCGTTCTGCGGATCTGGATTTGAGATCAGCGCGTCGAGCTGTCATTATTCCGCGCGGTGTTTCTTCTCCGGTGTTTCGAGGCTCGGTGTCCGCGCTGCGCTGTGGCTTGCAATCATGCGGCCCGTGCTGAGAACCCACAGTGACTGTCCGCGCCCTGCTGTGACGACCCTGTCGGCGCCGTGCCGTGGCGCCGCGAATGAGGAGCGCATCCCGCCGACTGTGGGAGCGTCGCTGCCTCGCGACGGGCGGTGACGGGCGCCCGACCGCCGCAGGTGGAGCTGGAGGGCTCGGCCACGCCGCTGGTGCGGCCTCGGCGTCCGTCGGCCGGCTCGGTGCCGTCGGCCGGCCGGCTGACCAACGGCCGGGCGGCGTCACGTGGCCCCTCCCCGGCGCTGACTGACGCCGACGAGCGCATGCCCAGCCGGCCTCAGGTGAGCCCCGGCCCGGGCACCGGCGCTGGCGGGCGACCGCTCGCCTGGGGTAGCTCACCAGCTGATATAGGGCTGCAGGGGGCAAAACGTCTTTGCTGAGTTAAACTTTCATGTAGCTATCCTTCGCAGTGTGCGTGTCAACGCGCCTTTACGTCATGATTTCAATGCAGGACATGAGTGTGATCCCGCCCCGTGGTGATCGTGACATCTCCACCAACTTCCGCCGTCCCCAGGTAATCGTGATTGGGAAGAACGCCGGCTCCGCTGTCACCAATGGCGACGGCGTGTTCGGCGACCGCATCCAGATATTCGTCCGCCAACCGGACGCCGACGCCGCCGACGCGCCTGGCGGTAACAGCGCCAAGCCCAAGTGCGCGGCGCCGTCGACAGGTGTCGCGCCGCTGACCAACGGCCACCACGCGGCCGAGGAGTCGCGGCTCTGAGCGTCGGCCGCCGCCGCCGCATGTGTTCACGGCCGCTGGCGCCCGCCGCGCACTGGTGCAATGTTCGGGCCCGGGCCTGTCGCCCGCTCGAGCCCACGTGACTGCGGCCGCCGCCGCACGCACACATATCGCTAGCGGCGCGCCGCGCACACGCGCTTTTCGATAATCGGTTTGTACGCGGTCGATGGCGAGGCCGCGCTTTTTACGAGCGCGCCTCGGCTTGACGGTGCGAGCTCGCACGCGCTGCGGTCGGGCGCGGCGGCTTGGGGGCGCTCGCGCCGCGCCGCCGCGGCCAGGCGGTGGTGCCGCCCGCCTTCTCCACACCGCCTTGTTGATGCTGCCGACGGACTGTCGCGAGGGTCTGGACTCCGGGGCGGAGTCTGGACTCGGGAGCGAGCGCCGGCTCCGGGAGCGGGGTGTGGCCGCGCCTGCTGAGCCGCGGGTGGGGCTCCCGCGGCCCGGCCCGGGCCGAGCGGGCCGAGCCAGGTCGCCGTGGTGACGCGGGCTTCGATGGCTGGATGGCTGCGCTTCGAGACCGTATTTATCGTGCGTTCTTCAATACTATTTTAAATCAAAACGTGGCGTTGTTTGTGTGAGGACGTCGGTGTTGGTACGGAGGGCCGCTCGCTCTGGGGAGGCAGGCGGGAACGGATGTGCGGGGCGGTTGGAGTTGGGAGACGTGGCTCCCCTGCCGCTAGCCGGCTCGCTTTCGTACCGATAGATGGCGTTGAGAGCTGCCGGTACAGAACTGGCGATGCCTCAACAACGAATGACCTAGCGGAGGAACTAATTCAGAGATTCCATGCATTTACAAATACGCTCATAATCACGGTCGACTATAACCATGGAAATATGAGCGAAGGAGTCACTGCGCAGGTTGTAATATACCAGTTGTGAAGTAACTAGACTGATATTTACCGAATCCCATTAAAGGGCGCCTCGCGAAGTGATGCTCGGGCGGCTGTCCCTACATGTGGCAAGGCTGGCATGCACAGCAGTGTGACGTGGTCGAGCTGTTCGTCACGGCGGGGTGCCATTCGTGCGAGCAGCACCTGTGAAGAGTCGCTCAGGACTTGTGTAGAGGCCAGTCGACCACCACCAGCGTCAGTTCCTACAAGATTGAAGGCTTATATCTTAATCATGAAAAGATGATATAATCATGGTGATGTTTTTACCAGCCTCTCCCGTGCGGGCGCCCGGGGGCGTAATTGGTACAGTTACAGGGGATTGGCACCACGGTCGACGGAGGGCCCCTATTGATACCCACAGCTACACGCACCTACAGACACACGCGCGCACGCTCGCTCGCATGCACGTACGCATATATTATGCATACGAGGTCTGTTAACAATCACAGCAGACTCAGATCTGGTGATATCACTAGAAAATGTCCGATTCATGATAAAACCTTAAGTGGTGCAACTTATACCAGACCATGCAATATGACAATCTATATCTGTTTTTTATCATGAGCTTTGGTGTCATTTTAAACACACATCGACAAGAAGCTAAAGCTATTATCAGTTGCATCGAGAACATTTCCAGAAAGATCAAATCAACAATGCTGCACCCGCTGTGATCTCTAATAAAACATCAATAATAATCTATTTCTTACATTTACGCGCGCGCGCGCGCGCGCACACACACACACACACACACACACACACACACACACACACACACACACACACACACACACCACACACACACACCACACACACACATATATATATATATATATATATATATATATATATATATATATATATATATACCTATATATATATACGTATATATATATATATATATATATATATATATATATATATATATATATATATATATATATATATATATATATATTATATATATATATATGTATCTCTCTCTCTCTCTCTCTCTCTCTCTCTCTCTCTCTCTCTCTCTCTCTCTCTCTCTCTCTCTCTCTCTCTCTCTCTCTCTCTCTCTCTCTCTCTCTCTCTCTATCTATCTATCTATCTACCTATCTATCTATATATATGTTTAATCATTATTTGATATATGACACAACATAAAAACAAAACATTCGTTGACAAAAAACGCTGAGTCGGCTGCAGTTGTTGCTAACAGGAAATGCTCCAAGGCAATATAAACAAGAAAGTCTCTTAAGCAAAGAATCATAGCAGGTCCCTCAAGAAAGTTAAATGGGCAAATTCGTTAAAAAGCATAGTTGTGGTAGGTTAAGCTGTTGGGCCCTCAATTCGGCAACGCTCCTCTCGAATCAATTACACAAAACGGCACGCCCCGCTCCCTCCCTTCGCCCCTCCTCTACGCCAGGCCTCCCACTTCCTACCCTCCACTGTCGCGGCCGTGTCGAGTGGGCCATACTACCGGCGCACCGCTCAGCTTCATCGCCGACTCCCCGCCTCCTCGCGACCTGGCGGGGCCGCGGTCGAGAACAGGCTGCCTGCTCTGACGCTGAGGTTTGGCCGGCTGGCTAATCTGACCCGTTTTGTCACTCATGTACGCTGTCCCAAGAGATGCGGGCCAGTCGCGTCTCCGTCTTACTAGCGATTGCAGCCACTTCCTAACCGTGAACGTAATGTTCTGCCGGTCACCAGGCTAGGTCCGGGGCTGAGTGTTCTGCCGGTCACCAGGCAAGGTCCGGGGCTGAGTGTTCTGCCGGTCACCAGGCTAGGTCCGGGGCTGAGTGTTCTGCCGGTCACCAGGCTAGGTCCGGGGCTGAGTGTTCTGCCGGTCACCAGGCTAGGTCCGGGGCTGAGTGTTCTGCCGGCCACCAGGCTAGGTCCGGGGCTGAGTGTTCTGCCGGTCACCAGGCTAGGTCCGGGGCTGAGTGTTCTGCCGGTCACCAGGCTAGGTCCGGGGATGAGTGTTCTGCCGATCACCAGGCTAGGTCCGGGGTTGAGTGTTCTGCCGGTCACCAGGCAAGGTCCGGGGCTGAGTGTTCTGCCGGTCACCAGGCTAGGTCCGGGGCTGAGTGTTTCTGCCGGTCACCAGGCTAGGTCCGGGGCTGGCTAGGTCCCAGGCTAGGTCCGGGGCTGAGTGTTCTGCCGGTCACCAGGCTAGGTCCGGGGCTGAGTGTTCTGCCGGTCACCAGGCTAGGTCCGGGGCTGAGTGTTCTGCCGGTCACCAGGCTAGGTCCGGGGCTGGCTAGGTCCCAGGCTAGGTCCGGGGCTGAGTCACGATATCGCCCTGAACACTCGGTCTTTATAAAAACAGATACATGCCGTGGTTGCATGGGGTGTACTGCGGAACAGCACGGCCGCTTGGCGCAGCATGCGTAAGAATTTGCTGGGTATCCATCAATGCTGACGGACTGAAGGCTGATAGCCACATGAGCTGAATTACGGCCGCTTGTAACGCGGTCGCGTAGTTGTGCCGCGGCAAAATAGAGATAATCTTCGCCCCAGCCAGTCTTCGATTCACAAGTTAGCTTGCGCATGACCTGAGTATTCTGATGGGTTCACAGGCTTGACACCCCACAGGCTACAGCCAAAGCAGGCATTCGCGATCCTGTGCATTGACAATCGGCACGCGCATCATTTATTTCTACGCAACATCTTTGGCCGATGGTGTACCTTGGCTCCTGTCCGCGATATCCGCTCGGAGGGGATCAATTTCACTTGGGGTAGGTACGTGTCGTCAAGGGACTGCCTGCTCCACCGCTGCGCAATGGCCTCGCCCGACAAGTGTGCGACTGTGCGTAGGTCAAACTGCTCCATTCTGACCTTTCTCGCTGACTGTGTCGTAAACCGGGAACCACGTGCGGTGCATGGGGAGAGCGATCTACGCTGGCCACTGTCATATTATACTTGACTGGTCCTCCAGCGCCGTGGCCGTTACCCAACAGCCGTACGTCGGTGTCCATGCGCGCGGGTCTGGATCTTTCGAAACGTTGGCACGCTTTCTTCTCGACTCGGGCGGCGGATGGACGTGCAAATATTCAGCTACGTATCACAACACTCCGCGACGCTGCGGGCGACTTGGCAGCCCCGCTCGGGTCCCGCAATGGGTGCAGCGCGACGGGCGCGGGTAATCCGGATCGTTTGCGCAAACATGGGACACCACCGCCATGCATGACGAGCAACTCCGCCGGAGGCCTGCCTGGCACACCATCCTGCACCACGCCGCGCAATAGCCGGCAAACGTGCAATTATGGCATTGTGTTTGGATTGTGTAACGCGTCTCCGAAGATGTTGCTGGAGGTAATGAAACGCTACAACCATGAATACCAATGAGTTTTCGATGCGTCTTATGCCATCCTGAATGTGGGTGGTGAGTATAAATAAACATTCACATGAACCAAAGTGATTCATATGGTCCATCGAATCCACATATAAAAAGGTAGCCAACGTTGCATCGGCTGCAGTTCTTAACGGAGAATGCTGAATTGACAAACTAAGCACAACTGGCCATCAGCTGCAGGGTTTCCAGCCCGTCAGTCGGGAGTTCTTATCCTGGCAATAATTGGCATCCACTGTGCCAGGGGGTGCTGGTTGAAGGGGATGTTACATTTTGAAGACATTGAAATGAGCATCGGCTACGACGAAATAAGATCGCTAATAACTATGTGTATACTTTTAGGTGGAAAAGGCTACTTCGGACAACAAAATTCCTCTGATTAGTAGTTATGCTTCTCAACACATCAGTCTTTGATTACGTCATCGCTTCATGCATGCCATTGATTGAGAGACCATTGACAGCGGTTATATTGGGAAATCGTGCCCAAGAAAGCCAAGTATGAACGACTCGAAAATTACAGTTTTCTTGGCCTTGATCACCGCGTGGCAATGGAATAGCAGAATATGAATGACGTTATGATGACGTCATGGATGCCTGGGTGAACTTGGAGTGCCCCCCCCCCCCCCCGAGATGATCTGCACATCTTCGCGGGCATGCAGCTCAGAAACTAGAATCGTTCGGGTCTTAAAAAGAGCAGGGCTGATGATTCATGATGATTGATGATGATCATGTGCATGTGCAATCATCTGATGCTGAGAGGCAGCGCCACCGAAGTTGTATCGGAGGGCAGGACTTCCTAGGGGGGGGGGGAGAGCTCCCCGACAAAATGGGGCCTGTTCACAGGATGGGGCGTGCTCACTGTTCCTGGGCGGTGTCGTATCCAGGGAAGTGGCACCGGGGGCATATGCCCGTGATCAAATTGGTGCATGTATCACATCAAAGGAATATCCAGAATAAAGCCTTCTGATTATCCAGCAAAGGATTTTGCCGTCGTGGGCCTCCTGTTCCAGAAAAGGGCCCCTGATCCTGATACATAAGGAATCCCCTAATCTAAAGCAGGATAATTCCCATTCACGAAAGGTGCCTCCAGGCCTAGCCAAATGGCATCGTTATCCCAAAACAGGGCATTCTGATCCACATCCGCTTTCATTTGATGCATGGAAAGGTTCTCCTGTTCCAAAAATAGACCGTCCTGAATGTAGAGCATGCCTCCTGATCCGGAGCGAGGATCTCCTAATTCGTTACGGAGGCCTCCCGGGCCAACAGAGGGCCTCCCGACATAAAGTTGGTCTACTTATCTAAACCATGGGCTGCTTTATTCTCAAACATGTCTTCATGATCCAGAAAACGGTCTTCGTGGTGAAGAAAATGTCCACCTGAGCCCGATTTATTACTCTCTAGCTTACTTATGGGTGCCTCCTCAATTTGAAATTCGCAATCTGCGGTTAGCTGAAATGTCGTTACTTTAGGAAACAGAGGTCTCCCAGAT